AGCCATCTGCACTGTGAATGCGTTGGTAGTATCTCATCAGAATGCTCACCAACCACGCATGTGATTCAGGGCTCGATTCCCGGCTGACACCCGCACACCTAATCAGGACGGTAACAAGACTGGTAAAGGGGGAAGGTTGGGCTAGCGACCCTACCCCCTCAAAATGAACCCACTGCTATCGAAACACAAAGGCTCTAGCTTGAAGCCCTGGGTTCCACTAGTAATGCGAAGGAATAAAATAATCAATAAATAAGGCCACACTACGATAATCGCAAGTAGACTTGCCCTCCGTCTTAAAAACTGGGATAATCAGTGGATTACATTAGTTAACCTGGATTATCTCTGGTTCCAAGACAGTACCTAATACCTCAGCTAACCCAGACAACAGTCTGTCACCATTGTCCTTGGATACTTCTGTAGCCACTCCATCAGGTCTGGTTTCAGATTAGAGAGAGTCCTTGTGACCTCAAAAGTGGGTAGAGGACCAACTTTCATACACTATCCACGTAGGTTTTGGATGCTGAACAACCTGAGCGTGCCGAATCAAATATTACCTTCCATGTTATCAGCTTCTCTTCCAGTCTTCTTTGGTCATCGCATATCTTATCGGTTCCCAACGAAAATTTTCGTCTGATTTCCTACATAAGGAAACTGGAGCTTTCCAGCATAACCTATCCTCTTCTCTTACGATTTGTTAATTCATATATTCTATACATTTTTCTTTATTTCCCCCTGTTTTCCCCATGGCTTCTCAAAAACGACTGTCACACTACGTAGGATCTTGAGAGCTTTCAGCGGGGTCAATGGTGTGACGTTGACCAACCAAGCGGATAGCGAAGTTGGCAGGAATTTTAATTCCTCCAAGTCACCTTGTATGGTACTAAATATTCTGTTTATCCCGAAATTTCTCCATGTGTTTCTTTGGGTATAACCCGAGAGTATCTCATGGGAATTTATTCTCGTACATCTAAATAGTCGATTCAACCTTAGCACATTAATTGGAGTGTCGCGTGAAGAGACCAGCATCAGCAAAGAGCTTGTTAGCCTCCTTTACAACCTGTAAATGAACCGTAATTTGTTACCAGCATACGTATACTGTTCTTCTGTTGACTTCAGTTCTTGCAGTTTCACTATTTTTACTTAATTCATTTATTTACTTGTAAAATGAGACAAATTATGACAGCTAGTGCAACAGTTAAGATTCCATTAAGTACAAAAATTTAATGTCTAGAATGAAGTGACCATCATTATTGTTGTTATTACTGTTAATGGACACTGCTGCGATGAGGAGCCCGGAGTTATTATTATCTCTTTTCTATTGACGACGATACCGAAGGACCAACTGATGAAAGGATTAACTCCATTCACAGTAGTAACAGTCTTAACACACCTTATTCTACAAACCACATACAATTAATCCCTGCACTACTCCTTTTGGAGTCAACCAAAGCTACGACAGTCGAGTGGCGGGACGAGCTACGCAGACGTTTACCGAAGATCAGGAACCTATACCTCACAATCAAGAGGCGAGCACAAAGAAGTCAAATTGGTTTATACTAGCTCGTAAAAACGATATTGGATATTGGATATATTGAACGTCGCTATAACACCAGTTACTCGTTATTGTTCAAATAGACGACTAAGTTAGACAGTATATATATATATATATATAGAAGACAAATATATATTTGTCTTCTCCCAGTGATGGGAACTTTTATACCAAGTTTGGTTTCTGTTTGGTGTACAAATTAAAGGTTTTACAATATCTGCATCTAGGCTGAATTATATATATATATGTACATATATATATATACTTGGACGTCCAAGTAGCTAGCTGGGAGGATTCTCCCCAGTCAGAGAATGCACCTGGGTAATGTGACCAAAACGTGGGCTAAATGGGTACTTTTGATCGGCAAACAGGTGGGCAGAAGATGGTGTAAATGCTACATAATTTACCCACTTTACTAATATTGGCCACTTTTTCCCCGTTTGCCCATGTCCCGAAAAAATTTATTTTCCCACTTTTTCCCAGTTTACCCACCTTCTCAATGAACACTTTGCCCACATTATCTGAGTTCTTTTCCATATAATAGAAATGGACAAATATACACCCAAAATATAACCCACCTGCATGATTTATAAATCCTGTAAGAATAGTCTCTGCGTGTAAGGAGTACTGCTTATATACCTCTAGGCAAACATCCGTTTTCTTAATATGAAAAAGGATGACAGATGAACTATAATCACAACTTATAAAATTATATTTTATAATATAATTTTATAAATGTCTACTTCTCACTCAGCGCTCAATTATTTTGCAACTTTCTGGTCAAATCTTGATCTCAGTTCATATGAATTATAGTCACAACTGTTAATATTTTCCTTACAGCAAGTATATGTTTTCGTCTGTGAATCAACACAATCACACCCACCTTGTTTCGTTTGGATTCCCAAGGTTTTAATATATGACCTCGTAAACAATGCTCAACAATCGAAAAAATTCTTTTCCCCATAGCTGGTAGAATACACATTAGAAACAACCTACCTTGCTTATAATTTTTTTTCATTGGTGACCTCGTCTCAACTGAACTGTAATCAAATACAGGGACGCTCTCACAAACGAAATATATTATTCATTGCAACCTTCATATGTGATAAATTCACATTCCCCTACCTCCCTGTTGAATTTTGTTTTCGTCGTATTCTTATTAACTGTCACACCTCTGGTCGAATAGACGAATCACATCATATGTAATTCGCAGACAAGTATGCAGCCGTCACACTACGTACTCTGTGTGAAACCTACTCTTTGCTGATTGGTTGGTTTCAATATACTGTGTCGAAAGAGAGTGCTATTTTTCAGCATTACCCGCAGCAGTTAGGCATGCAGTGCTTATTTTCAGCACTGAAGGTATTATTTCAGATGCTGATCATTTTTTAAGATTTTGTCGTATCAATTAAGCACCCAGCTCTCTTTTTAAGCACGACCAGCGTTATTTCAGAACACAGTGGGTAGAAAAAATATTCATTTACCATAAAAAGGCATTATCGACGCACAGGTTAGAATAAGTTTAGAATAGTTGTAAGCTTGGGATTTTCCCACCTCACACATGTTACAACCGAAAACAGCCCAACTTTTCCCACTTTGCCCAAATTTGAACGAAAACTGCCCACGTTTTTACCCAAATATCTCAGGTCCTGAAAAATTTCACGAACTGGGTCTCCTGTCAATGTACTCACCAATCAACAAGAGAATCAAGCCGGTGATGCCTTACATACTTTACAGAGTGGAATGTCGTGTTAAGCTTCTGAAAGCCAGGTGGAATGGCGTCAAATTGAATATCTTTGTAACAGTATGACGTCAATCTGTCCTACTCTGACTACAGGTTTATTTCACAGGATACCCCGTGGCTAGTTTCCTACAGTTTGCCTTAGATTAGTGTGGGTTTATGTGTACCAGACGTATTACAAGCCCATCGGATGACTCCATATGGCAGTCATTTTGTTTAGTAGAGATATATATCTCGACTAAGAGTGTTATTATCTTCGAGTCATTGTCTGTCAAAGACCGAATCAAAGGCTTCAGCTATTTCCATGTTAGTGGGATACCGTCCGTATAAGACTCTTAGGACGAATACCCCTTGGTTAACAAATAATTAAATGTGTTTTTCTACGAATATAAATCTGTAAACTGTTCCAGTCGGAAAAAATGGGCGAAGAATGTTGAAATAGTAGTTAAAGCGGCCATGACTTTGGATATGTGGTAAGATTGGTGATAAAGTGATCTAAATGATGAGATATTGCTTAAATAGTGTTCAAACAGAGAATATTGCTTAAATTTTGGCCAAATAATGCTCAAAGTGGGAAAAATGGTTATGAAACTGAAATTCGCCGTGCCTATTATTTACCCATTTTTTCCGTTTTTGTCCGAATGGGATGCTCACACATCTATATCGTACCTTCAGAAAAATACTGGAAAATTTTGAATGAGTCAGAATTTAGGGACTTTATAACAATGTTTGTCATAAGTTGCTCCCATTTCGCTCCTTATTTCGAAAATAACAAGACACTCACTGTGTGGTGTACAAACAAAAGAATCTGTCTAACTGGGAGTGATATGCATTAGTACAAACTTAAACAGTGGCTTGCCTGACCTGTAAGTGAAGATAACGAAAATCAGGAACAAAAGATGGAACTAATCAGAAGTGTGCGACCAACAGCCATATATGTGACAGGTTAAATTTGGACTTGTTTGTAGCAAATGTTTAGCAATTTACCTAACTTGTAACAGCTGAGTTAGGCACTGTGCAGCTCTGTTTGAGGATCAGAAGAATGAGAGTATAAAAATAGCGTTCACGTATGGTACAATGCATGCATGTTAAAAACATCTTGAAAGAAGTTAAACATCAAAAAGGTAGTTGGGTCAAAATTTTGGTTATTTTATTATTTGTTTAATTATTTTAAACCTCGCTTCATTTTGGGTCTCTGGAAAGTGCGCTGGAAATCTGAAAGTATTTTTTGGATTGATGAGTGATGCTGGCCTCCAAAGGGTATTATCCCAAAAAGATGGTAATTATCGAGACGTTCTCTTTGATGGTTTTCAATTATTTTACAGCTCTTTCCAAGATTGAAAATTCTACGAGCTATTTTACATTTGGCATTATTTATTTTTTCTCTTGATACTGATTTTAACCACAAACATTTTATCTCATTTCCCATTATTATTTTGAGTGTTTGTTTAAATTTTTTCATTGGAATATAGTTTCTTAAAAAGTGATATATTTACGATGATACAACATGATGAAAAATTTATTGAAAAGCCTTTTAAATGAATGTGGTGTTCTTCATGATTTCAAATCATCTAACCCATGAATTTCCCTGCAGTTTTAGCAGTGAAGATAGCCTCAAAATCTTCGTTCCTTTGTCAAATTCTCCTTATTTAATGTTAAAACTGTCATGAATTATTTGTATTAATTCTTATCCATCTTTTATGTTTTTTAGTTTGTAATATTATTGCACTAAATTTGCTTTGAAGTCGTTTTCAGGGAAGCTGAATCTCCGTTGGCAATTTATCTAGTAGCGTCTTATGCATAGGAATGGTCCAGGTATTTTCAATCTGAATACCCATTAAAAATTCCACAGATTTCAGAAATTGAAGCTTATCTATCTTCCAAATCTAGAGCTGAACACTTTAATTTATTATGTATTATTGAATCAATTGTCGGTGGGCTGATGCTAGAACAACCTGATGAACCTATAAAGTATATCAAAGGTCGCTTAGAAGATACAAAACGCATCAACAAAGTTGCAAATATACATAGAGAGTTACACGTTTGGCCACACCACCCAATACTAAATTCATGTAAATCTTTCACAAACGATGAAGAGCAAAAATTTCTAATGAACCGTTTCTTTCATCATATAAAGATTTTACAAGGTGGCAACAAATATCTTGAAGATCTTCCTAAAATTGAACCTAGGGACTTCGAGATTACAAATCCATTATTTTCACTGACAGAGCTTCATTTAAACAACTAGTATGCTAATAATGGATTTATTGAATGATCACGCGTTTTATGGACATCTTTATAAATGAGGTGTATTCAAAATTGTTTCAAAAGACCTTTGTAGTCAAATTCCATTATTTTAAAGTAGATTTGTGTAGTGTTAGAAAAAATAGTTGACACACATATCATTTGCAATTTGTGTTTTCAATTTGTTATTTAAAACTATGTATACCCAAATATAAGAAAATAAGACTTATTCTATAAAAGAAATTCACTTTTATTAGGAAGGTTTATGAGGAATTGATTATCAGTGTAGTATTTTTAATATTATAAATCGGTATTAGCTGCTAAACCTATTAAAATCAGGTAGCAGTGAATATCTGCTTCCCCTTACTTGCAGAGTTGTATGCACGAAAGATTCTACAAAAAAGTTTCTCACTAAAGAACTCCTTTCATTTATCCAGCAAGTCAATTACGTGAGGTGTAGTTGATTTTGGAAATTATTTTCCATTTTTATCCGATCTTGGAGGGAGTGCAATTGTTTTTACTGTAGAGCTTGAAATCGCGGATACTAGAATCGATATCCAGATAAAGTAACTGCATCCAACAGACGAACCAAAAACAGAATAAAGCTTACATATAGGAATTACTATTTTATCTGCTATCAAGTTAGCATTGCTACAGTATAGTCCATTACTGCAAACAGTGTAGCTTAAATGAATTCTCTTTGACTGAAAGTTTTATGAAATGCCAGAATATCAGCTTTATTATCTACTTGATACTAAATTATTTATAAACAGATTTTATGAGTCTTTCAATATTAGTGAGCTGCCGACTTTGTTCTTGTCCTGTTTTTTTTATTGTAAAGTACTTAATATCCACTCGATCTTATTTTTTATGTGCGAAACATTATTGTCCCCTAGAAGTCGTTTTATTAATAGCTAGAGTGCAGATCAACAATAATTTTAACTGTGTAAAGACATGAGTTAAACTATGCATACATTAGGTAGTATAAAGGATGTCATTTAGTGATTGGAAAGCGGAGGTAAACACATATATGCTTAAGGTAGTTAAAAACGACTGTATTTTTTAAAATAGTTTTACAAAGTTATCACATGAGGTCAAAAGTAAATGATGAATTCAGGCTTATTGATTGTTGATGTTCACCGGCCAGGCATAGTTATCATTTATAAAAAATACATATTTCTTGACTTGAAACAGTAACTGTTTCTGTAGATCGAGAGGTATTTTAACAATGTCTGACTTCGAAAGGAGTGCTAATGACAGTATCTTATTCCAAATGAACCTTCTGTTTAAGGTAATAAAATCTAGTCATCTCATTTAGAAAAGACTCGTATCAGCATTTATGTCTAGTTTTATTGCTTCCACTATGGAAGTGACTTTATTTGACTTCGTCTTCTCAGAAACTGAATTGCTGCCAAGGATAAAACTGGTTGGCTTAAGAAAATTAGGTGATATGGTTTTTAAGGGAGAAAAACCTAAAATCCTTCAGCACAAATACGAATTTTAAACATCCTTTTTCCGCAGTCAAATGTCAAATTCCGATAAAGAACTAGGTCACAAGAAGTAAACTGAAGCATAGTAAGTTGAAAAAGGGAAAATGCTAAGCACATTACTTATTTGGGAAACTTCGTCAGCTCTAATCTGCTGGTAGTCGTTAATATGTGAGCACAGATGCAAAAGACTTGGTGATTTTTCGCCTATGCATATGATATTATGAGTTCAAGATATACACTTAAATCTGTCAAAAGACGTGTACACTGCTTAACGACGTGCTGTATTATTTGACCGAAATAGAATATATAGAGATATAACGGGATACTGACCACGGATTTCTTTGTTTGATTGCTTACATTAGATGGAAAAGCACGCCATTGGTGATAAAGGTAGCAGAACATTGTTTGGTAACGAAGACGAATCAACCGAGGTTGTGAATGTTAACTGATACAGATTATTTGGATCTGTGTTGCACAAGTTATATGAGAAAAATACCCATCAAGACATGGAGATAAGAACAAACATTTCAGGGAGGAGACTCTTTTCGGTGAATTCATTCACTTAGCTTTAAATTCACGATTATATATAATTACTTTTATATATGCGTATAGATTCGGTCTGTAAAGCGTAGCAAAAAGGAATAAAAAATTAGTTTGAAATATTGTTCACATCATCAAAATGTTCTGCAGTAATGACTATTAATCAACTTGTAACTAAGGAAGTGAAGATTAATAATTTTAGACTAAAGGTTGCATAATACAAAAAATGTTTGCAAAACACTGACTGTTAGTGAACAGAGTAAAGAGATAGGTACAAATATATATTATGTAATAGGTAAACGGAATGAACAAAAAGTTAGTTGGAAAAGTGATACCAATAATTGTAATATTGAAAACTACTTGGGAAAAAATGATAGTACTAATAGAGAAATATTGGAAACAGTTGAGGATGGGATTATTTCCAAGGTAGGAACATTAGGTGGAGGAGTCTCTTCTGTATGCATAAATCATAATTTTCTATAAGAATGGATAAGACCTCAACAATACGAAGGATACATCCTAGAGAGGTTTCTCTTGACCTTGTAGATAACTTTCAACGAATTTTCCTCAACTGTTAAATGACCAGTGTTGAATATGCATTCACTTTTAACACTCCGTATTAAACAGTAGTGACCTCTTTGTAACCATGAGTGACAATCTTCCTTGGCTCTTTTAAATATAATCCTTTATACAACCCATATATCTTGCTCCACAGGAATAAGTAAACTGGCAGATACACATATAAGCGGTTGGATGTAATAATTTATCTTACATGGTATTCAGGAAGAGCATCAGTCTTAATTTAGATGCAAAGAATGTTCTTTTCAAAGAGTTTGATGTGCTTTTCTTTAGGGTGTCAACCAGAAGGTCGCCAGTGAATCCTAGATTCGTGTATAACATCTTAAGCACATAGATAGGATTTTCTTTGCTGGGCTTGGAGCTTATGTGTTTTTCTGTAAAGCGCGGGGAGATATCCATTTTCAACTGGTGTCTTTCTGAAAAAAGCTATCTCTTCACCTAATGACTTTGGACTGAAGAGTTCTCGGATCCGGTGAGCAAGAGACGATCTCAGGTTTCTTTTGCGATTTGATGTAATTGATCATATTAAATTAACATTTTTAACATTTAACATTAATTTATATAACTCATTAACTATATTTTTTTAATAATATACTATCACACTGTTACTTCACTAATTTGTATTTTTACTTTTTGTATTCGTTCCGTTATCGAGCTCGCTATAAAATCCCCTACAGTTTTGTCTTAGTATATCTTTCTTTTGTAAACTACATATGGTTTTAAGCCTATCTATTGGCTAATATTAACCTTATTTTTATTTAACTAGGTGAAGATTGATGTAGAAAGGAAGACCTAGGTTATCACAGAATTTGAACCAACTACTTCTGGGTTACTAGTCTGGATATTTACTAAGTGAGGTAAAGGATCTAGTCACTTATCACATCCTGATTTCATTCCATTCAATCTCTGTGACCAGGATGGTGGCTGAAAATCAAAGATCGGTTGCTATACAACAATTATCGAGTCTGAAAATGGTTGTTGCGAATCGTGAAGCAGTCATTACTTCACTGTATGAATGAGAGTTCGCCAATCTGAAGCTATCCAAGATGGTCTCACTGATATATTCTTATTACCATTTGATAATTTGTGAATTCTTTTCATTTAACAAACACAATGCGATCCGTTCTTCAGAAAAAAGTGAATTGTCATTCTTTTCACAATTTTCACACAATTATTATTATGCAGTCAAAAGCAATATCATTATAATTATGCATTAACTTTCCCTACTGTTTTTCTGGTTGGTTTTCAATAACTTTTACTCATTTTCTGTATAATTAAATGAGCGGAAAATTTCTTCTGTCATCTCTCAATAATTTTTATTACAGCATAATTTTTAACTGTAGGAAACTTTGCATATTGTTACTCTTACTATCTTTATTATCCCAACTGTATCAGGTTTGTATTACTTTTTTGTCAACAAATGCTTTGGTAACATCTTCACTTTTCTCAGTAGATGACAGGATAGATTCACTTCACATTATAATAAATATTTTACTTCAGAATACTACACAGAAATCACCTAGTCAATTGTTGATAATAATTAATATACGTGGAACCATATTTTTCAGAAGAGAAACTGATTAGTTTGGTACTTTGGAAGGTTAGAAACAGAAAATAACATATTCTGCAAACTGAAAATGTAACATAACGCCAAAACTTTACAGATAACATGATTAGGAGATGTTTAGTACTCTTTTTGGATTCTGTTGAAGAAGTATATTTCAAGCGAAGTTTGTAACATATTATTAGTTGCTTCCTGTTTGTTTATTTCTTGCTGTAATCAAGTGTACTCCTAGTTACGAATCACATATTAGAAAGATATGAAATCATAGGTGAAATCCAGTTATGGTTTTCGATGGAAGTTAAAGTATCCAGACCATAATAGATGACATACTTGGTACCATAATTAACTGCAGATAAGCCTGAGTTATAGGCTCCAAAGAATCAGTATTTGTGAGACTGGTTGCACCATCCATTCAAGGTTTCCCAACAGGCTTCACTAACTGACACTTTAGTTTGTAACTACATAGTAAGATACTGAGGTTAAGATGCCAATAAAACGAAGTAGATACATGCATTGTGACATACCGATAATGTATTGGTATCCAACGTTCCTTCGTGATAGCCTCATTAATCACCTCATTAATATAATTCGATATCGTTAATCATTCTGAATAGTCTACGGCTAATACCTCTATCTTCTGTTCTACCAGACCACTAGATGTCACGCTTATGATGAAAGCGCATAAACAAAGTGTTACTTTATTCCATTAGACATTCATTTAGTTTTTACTGTTTCACACTTAATAGGATATTACTGTATTACCGGTATGTATCATGTAAAAGTGAGACTTGGGGAAAATAAACATTAGTCTTACTGGTCCTCTCATATTCATTTTTTATCCGCAACTAGATTTAATTGGATTTGTTTGGATTTCCGTCGAAAAGTCAGTGAGGAAAAAGTAGTCACTCAGCATCCTCCTCTCGCAACCAAGTCTATTATTATTATTTTAATTCTTGTACGTTCCTAGAGGAACATAGGGCTTCAAGATGGAGGCTTGGAGTTTCGGTAGCAGTGGGTTTTTTTTACGGGATGGGGTTGCTAGCCTCATAACTCTCTG